GCTCCGGCCTCTACTGCTCATTCTACTACTACTACTACTACTACTACTACTACTACTACTACTACTACTACTACTGCTGCTACTACTACTACTACTACTACTACTACTACTACTACTACTACTACTACTACTACTACTACTACTACTACTACTACTACTACTACTACTACTGCTGCTACTACTACTACTACTACTACTACTACTACTACTACTACTACTACTACTACTACTACTACTACTGCTGCTACTACTACTGCTACTACTACTGATGTTTCTTTTGCTCTGAGATAACTGAGATTGATAATCAAATCCGGTTATGATCCATCACGATCGCCGGATAGTAAGAAAGTTTGTTATAATTATAACCTGCGTGAAACTGCTACTTGACCTCGCGAGATCCTTTCTCACGTGAACTAACGTTAGTTCAGTGCTTTCAGATGGCAGACAAGACGATGACGGGTTCGACGAAGATCTGGCCGTCAACACATCGATAGGAATCGGCGCCGTGATAGCCTTCATTGCAGTCGTCATCATCACCATCGTGATATGTAGGAAGATGCAGAGAGAGCCCGCTGCGAGTAAGTTCCCGCTGATCTCTGATGCGTCACCGCAAAACTCGTGCGCTTATATATTGCCAATTAAGCGTAATTTCAATTTTTGCTGTTCGCGGTAATTTTTTTCCAGCTACGTACTATCTTGCCGAGCTTCATCGTCATCGTATAATGTTTTACTGTAAAAAGCAATATAGGTTCCGCGGTGATGCCCTACAGCCATGTGCGTGCACTGTTTGGTCATATTTAGTCACGTGACTTCTAATTCGCGGATCTCGGTAGGCTTGCTTGGTCATTCGGAAATGGCTGGATAATATTTGAGAATAGTCGTGCTATTTGTCGTACTTGTAGAGAAAACCAAATAGAGACAATTCTTCACTTATTTGGAAAAGAAACAGGGCAGAGCAATGAGCAATCCATAAAATAATATCATCTAGGCCTACAATTCCCACTGTCATGTCAGAAATTCACTGATCTTGCCTATTACGGCCATGAAAAAGCCGTATGCGGTTGTCAAATATTTTAGTAGTTATTTCTTTGATACCTTAGCAGGCAATTATACGTTTTGTCAAAGAAATGATCGCAAGCTTTGAGCTCTCGGCAAACCATCAAATATATTGGACCCTAGCTAGCTGCAATTTGAGCAGTCGCTGTAGGGCGTGAGCGCACGTACATCTGATAAGGAGTGTATAGTTAGACCTAATAATTACCTCCGCCAGGGGCTTGGCGGAGGTTACGTTTTCACCGGCGTGTCTTTGAGTGTTGCTTGGTGGGTTTGTGTGTTACCATGCACGTTTCAGTTTACTTTCGCTAGGTGCGCTGGCTGTAGACTTACAAACACGCAACCACAGGCTAAGGGGCAACCACAGTCCTCCCCCACCTGCACGCTAAGATGCATCACACACAACACAGCACACACACATCTTGTCATAATTAAGATTCAAAAAGTTCTTACATTTTTCTATTGATTCTTATGCATACCTGAATAACAAAAATACAAAATCTGATATAAGCTGTGCTTGCGATCATTACCTGCTGAGTGCGCTCGCGGTGACGACGCTATGAATAATCGACAACGCGCACTCCACGAATTAATTAAAACTTCAGCGCGTCTGCTCAGTAGAATTATATTACGTCCCGCCACCGCCTTCAATTGCCGATCTTATTCGGCGAATATTACTCTCGGACCGCTGGCAGAATTCCCACGAACGCGAGGTAGACCGACGCGCGCCATCTTGTTTCCTGACAAACTTCTTCGGTGATCGAATTTGGACTGTCTTCCAACCGCCCTCGCGACTGTTGACTTCGGGCTCCTGCTGATCCTGCGTGTCGATTTGACCGATGGAGGAGCCGGTTACATTGATGGAGAACACTCCCCCGTCACGTCACCGTCACGCGTCCTACACTGTCTTACACAGCCGTGATGGCCATCGACGACGGTTCGTCGGACTTGTCTGGTCGAGTTGATCATCGTCGTGCCGATAGCAAGCTTCTCCGTCTGCTGTGTTGCTGGTTGGTATCCGGATCGGGACGCGCTGCGAGGGACCGAGCCTAGTTCCGGTTGGCTCGTCCGGACTCAACGTGGGAGAGCCATCTTGAAGCAGCGTAAGCGCGCAGAATATAAGACGTGTAGCGAGCCAATACAGCAATCTGACGCGTTAGATGCATAGACGCAGCTGGTCTTAGCCGTTTTTTGAGTATGGACCGCCTTGAGAACTGGTGAAAGGCTACATGAGACGCCTCCCAGAAAATAACATAAGCGACATCAACACAACATTTTTGAATACGAATGGGTCCACGGAACCCCTGAACCCATCGCACGACCCAAAGGGGTCCATGGACCACATGTTAAGAACCCGCCGCGTGCTAGCCCGTGCTAATGATGCGCACGCCTGTGATTGGCTATAGTATATATATGAATGTATAATAATAATTATCTATTATAATGCTATTATTATGTCACTCTGATATAGCTATAATATATAGTTAAAAAGAGCGAGAGGAGAGAGAGAGAGGAGTAGAGAGAGAGAGAGAGAGAGAGAGATAGAGAGAGAGAGAAAGCGGGGAGAGAGAAGAGATACTGAATATCTAAGAGAGGGAATAAAACATAAAGGCCAAAAATAGGTTGAAAAGAAAAGAGATGGGAAGAAAGACAAAAGAGAGGGGTGACTATTTTTACAACGGCAGCCGGTAGGCCTACTTACCAGCGTTTCGCAGCGCAACACCATGTGATGATACTTTTCTGGCTCGTTAATGGACAGCATTGAACGACGGCGGCGGTCACGCGTGATCCTTTACCGTATAGCAGTAGAGAACACAGAGCGCATATATATTTATATATATGATAGTATACTATATAATATATTATATAATTATATATAGATACACATATTACATAGTACATATACATATACATATCATATACATATACATATACCATATACATATACATAACATATATCATATTACATATACATATACATTTATACTATATACATTATCATATACTATAACATATTACATATAGCATATACATATAATATACTATATAACATAGTACATATAACATATACATATACATATACATACACATATACATATACATAATATCAGTATACATAACATATACATATACATATACATATACATATACATATACATATAGCATATACATATAATATACATATGACATTATACATAACATATACATATAGCATATACATATCGCATATAACCTATACATATACATATACATATAACATATACATATACAAGTACATATACATATACATATATTCATATAGCATATACATATGACATATACATATCCATATACATATAAATACATATACATATACATATACCATACATATACATATGACATATACATATACATACTTACATATCGATATACATGTACACACACGCCACACACACAACAGAGGCGCGGCGCGCGCGCAACCACAACACACACACACACACACACACACAGCACACACACACACACAGCGACCACGTCAACACACACAGCACACACACACGCACACACACACACACCTCACACACACAACACACACACACACCACACACACACACACAGCACACACACAAGCACACACGCACCGCACAGCAGCGCACGGCACGCTGACGCACGCACGCAACCACGCACACGCACACGCACGGACTGCAACGACCGCACCACGAACACGCAACACGGCACACACACACACACACATCACACACTCACATTCCACGCATGCTAGCAGTAGCTTTTTGCACGCTCTGGCAACGCCGATTCGAGGCAAGGGCTCCCTTGTAATATCAGGTACGTAACAACCGCTACCAGTATGGAATCTGATTGGCAGAATGCCTCAGCGTAGCTGGCCGTTTACACCTTCCACTGCGCTGGCGAATGGAAATGAGCCAAGCCACATGTTATGTGTAGCGATGGAAATGTAACGATGTCGGCATTTTAGTCGCCTGCACAATACGATTAGGAGTGAATAATAATAGTCTCATTCTATTCTGTAGATAGTCTATATTATTCACAGCGGATACGAGACAACGGTCGTCTATTAACATTTATCAACTGCAACTATGGTAACAAGTGGACGCTTCGGTGGAATGAAGCATAGGAAATAATTTGACCCTACGAATCGATTGCCTACGAAGTGCCTAGACATCGCCATATTTTCATTAAGAGGCCACGTACAGCAATGCAGGTAAAGGAATAAAATAAGTTGTTTGCGGTGACACTGAGTATATCTGGGTCATTATTAAATGAAGTTGGCTGGCATTTTTTGTCCTATAATGAATATGGTTTCATGAACGCCTGCTTGGATACTTTCAAGTATGATCATTACAAGATTGTGCTGCTAGTGAAAGAACGTATACTTACAGCAAGCCCTGACATGAATCTATAACTCTATAAAATGCGTTTAGGCTTTCTTCTCCAACTTCTTTTCACCGGAGTTAAACAAGTCTGGTACTGATATATCAGTAATTGTAAAATCATTCAACGGCTTCCTGTCTTCTGTCACATGCGTTACGTCGATGTAGTCTCGATGTAGTCACTAGCTGAATCCAGATTGCGGATAATATAGGCGTTGTTGTGCTCTTGACTATATCTCTTGCATTTTACCACGGCGAATAGCCCATCGGTGCTCATTCAGCACTCACCGTGTGACGCACGTGGGCTACTTTACGTCTTCTTCTATGTCTCATGCAATAAATTCTCTGGCGTCCTTTTTATTCAGCCGTCCGTCCCATTTCCTTTATTGTAATAGTGTCAGCAAGATTTCGAACATACTGGCTTTATCCTAATATGTGCAAAACTGCAGCGAGGCATCCACTGCCGTGGTTGGAGTCTTCGATCTGGGAACCGTACTCAGCTTTTAGGCGCCGATACTACTAAGGATAAAAGCGGGTCTCTATCCTTTATGTTTGGCCACATTGCACCACGTGTAATCCACATCGAAAAGGCACTAGCTGTAGGTCGCATTACAGGCATTAGTTCATCGATGATGAAAATGAAGCAGAGCTCAAACATCTCATTCAGCATGACCGACTAGAGCACTCGAGAGCACAGACGACTGCCGCCAAGCAAGCTGAATTCCTAATGTGAAATTTTTAATTTAATTAATTATTTAATGTAATGAAAAATTAAATTAATTAATTAATTAAATAATTAATTAATTGTATCCGGATTAGGCGAGCT